ATATATATATATATACATTTTTCTTATTTCCTTCTCTTTCCCTTCTTCCTCCTCTTTGCTCTCTTTTTGCTAGTGTGTATGTGTGTGGATGTGTGTCTGCATAGCATATTTTAAAACAAGAAAGTAAATTCTCTGTGATCTAGAAATAGAGAAGGATACACATTTGGATGAGAATGAAGGAATTGGGTATTAACACTGCATCACTCATGAGGACTGGTCAGTACTGGGCCTTAACACCACTGATGGAATGAGGGCATAACATACCCAACAGGAGGTCCAGAGGCTAGGAAATGGATCTCAAGAAGCTAGCCAGAGGCCAGAACTTCATTGTCTATACTTGAATGACAACTGCATATCTTTGCCTACCCAGCATAGTGTCTGGAAACAAGAGGCATGCTATATTAATTTTCTATTGCTATGTAACAAATTACCATAATCTTATTGTCTTAAAAACACTCATTATCTCAGTTTCCATTGATCGGGAGTATGGGCATGGCCTACAGTTTCAGGAAAATCCAGGCTGGTATAAAAACCACCCTCCAAACTGAGATGGTGCTGAGAGACGAAAGAATGACTCAGACAAGTCCAGCTTGGCGAGTTAAATGAGTTTGTTAGAGGTTACTTACACAGAGCACTCACTCTCAGCCTGCACAGGATCTCTCCGGAGAGTAAAATCCACAGAGTCTCCCTGTTCTGTTGCCTTAAATCCCTTTTTAGTGAGTGATGCAGAGCTCTTTCATTGAATCATCCCATGTTCACATATAAAACAGATTAAGCATGTGCAGTACAATGATCATGTGCCTTCATATAACACGTTATGTAAATGATAATATAATTCTCTATTAGATGAGGATTTTAGAATTACAATTAGCCAAAGGATACTATAAAACAGTTAAAGCACTTAGGACTGGTTTAAGCAAGTCACCTCAAGGAAATGCTAAGGCTCATCTCTTGTGCCTTGTAGTTATCTTTGGTATTTTCCTAATCTATTTTGTAACAATTTTTAGAGCACTCTCAGTTAACACAGTGTTCCTTTCTGTGTGGTGGGGAAATTGTATTTTTCCCTCACCTACTAGGGTACTCTGCTCAGGGTTTCAAAAAGCTGCAGTCAAGGTGTCAGTCAGCGATGCAGTTCCCATCTGGGGCCTACAGTACTCTTCTGTGTTCATTCCAGTTTTTGGCAAAACTAAGTTCCTTGAAGGTATGTGACTGAAGTCTCAAGTTACTGTATACCTGTTGGTCTATGTCAGCTTTCAGTTCTGAGAGGCCACCCCTTTCCATAGGCAGTTTATAACATGACTATTTGCTCTCTGATGTCTCTCTGGATAATGTCTCTCTGATGCTTCACCCTCTTTTAAGGGCTCACTTGATTAGGTTATACCCACCCAAAATAATCTCTCATTTGATTAAGTCCAAGTCAACTAATTAGCAACTAATCATAGACATGATATCCCATCATTTCATAGGCCTCAACCACATTAGGGTAGGGTATTATATAGGACATGTACACTGGAGGGTGATAATCTTGGAAGTCATTTTAGAATTCTGTCTACCACACATGCCTATGGCCAGGAACCAAAGCAGAGTCCCCAAAGTGATACATCCTTCATTCTTAATATTTTGTAATTTCCATTCTTTCTTTTTGGCCCATGGATTATTTTATTTACTCTATATTCATGAATTTTTTCATTTTCTTTTTTTTTTAATTCCAAAAGCATGGGGGATGTCTATCTCTTTGGGATTGATTTCTAATTCTCTTCCATGATGTTTAGAGAATTCCATATTGATTAAAATTGCACTGCTATAATATTCTTTTAGTTATAACTTGCCTAATATATAACATTCTAGACCTTTATTTTCAGTCTTTCTGGAACACTTTGTTTTAAGCATGTCCCTTGTGCCTAACATATAGCAACAGCAAATTGCCAATGAGGGAAAAAGAAACCACAGACCTTTTGGTGAAGACTTTGAGGATCTTAAGCACATGGC